TCTTTTTTATCCAAGAAAAATAATTCCTTGAAGATGTAGATGAAGATGTAGATTTCTGAACTCTGCGACAATTAGAAACCTCTACTCACTATCTTATATTTCATATCTGCTGAACAACCTTCAGAAAGCGCATATTTTCATCAATTTGAAAGACACTTACAGTTTGAAAGAGGGCCATGAATTTTTAACTGCCTTTTGTATCAGGCATGGGAAATTGGAATTCACAATGGTGCTATTTTGATTGTATAATTATCCTGTTGTCTCTCCAGATTCATCAATGAAATCTTTTATGATATTTTTGTCAAACATGTAGTGCCGTACTTGGACGGCATATTGATGTTTTCAGAGCATCCGTTTTTACACAAGATTTATACTAAAAGTGACTTACAGAGACTCCTCAAACATAATCTTTTTACTAAAGGTGGAAATGTGTTTTTGATATTTCCAAGGGAACTATTTGTGTTATTAGATCTCTATAGAGGGAATACAAATGGATTCTGCAAAAGCACAGTCCATATTCTTATAGCAAGCATCTAGAAGTACAAAAGATGTCCATTATTTTTATGGGATTTGTAAGTATCTACTGGTAGAAAATGTTCTCCATGATTTTGCATGATCTACAAGACTGTTAACTGCTATAAAAGGGACAGAGGTTCAAATGGTCTCAAATAACATCCTTGATTCATCAGACATCCTGTCCCTGCTCATCCTTTTGTTGTGTAAACAGACACATCAGACAGATACAGCATTAGGAGGCATTTTCCAAACATCAAAAATGGTGTGGAACAATCTCCTGCTTTATGCATTTTATTATAAATTGCTTTTTCCAGAAGAAAAGGAACCGTAGCATTTTCAATAGAGTTGCTTATGACCAAAGCAGCATTCCAGTATGGCAGATATTTCTTGCCCTCCAAGATACATCTGAAGAATTTGGAACACTTTACAGAAAGCACAATCTCCAGAGGACCACAGACTAATTTATCTTCTGTGACTTATGTAAGCTGTTTCATAAACATCATGTTCTTCTTCCCTCAAGAACAACACTACCATGACAATCAAATTGGTGGACCATAGGGGAGTGTTTAACAGTTTTCATTGGGTGCTCAGAGTTCTGATGCTGAAGGATGAGAGTAGATATCAAGAACTATGTCCTATCCTATCATATCTATTGCCAGACCAAAATTGGCCTTGCGCAGTCAGCCAATTTATTTCAGCCACCTTCTTCCATATCTAGACCCTGGAACTGTATTTCAATGGATTCTGTTACTCACATTCCTCCTCAACAGGGTTACACAATTATTTTGGTGATAGTAGATTTATGTACCAAAACGGCTTATTATATTCCTTGGAAAGGCCTTCCATTAGCTCAGACACTTTCCAGAACATGTTTTTAGGTAGAAGGAATTAATCAGTCACATGATCTTGCATTACAACTTTCAATTTATAGCCAATTTATAGCTGCCTTTTGCAGCTTGTAAACATTTCAATTCATTTATCTTTGTGTTATCTTGCATCAAATCAATTATTGGTCAAACATGAATCAATTATAACAATACATGAGGTACTATATCTCATATCAATAGGACAAAAGGATGGAAAGGTTGCAAAATTTTTCCCATAACATTCAGTGCATTCTTCAACAGGGATGTTATTCATGCAATTTATAGCTATTGCCTCTTCATCTTGCCCTTCTATCTTGAACTCTAGCATCCACTATTTCTATCAGACTTTCTACAGGAGAGAGAGAGAGAGAGAGCCTGCTCTCAGCTCCTCTTCAAGAACACTTAGGCCAAGGCTGCATACAAGTATGCTGTAAATACAATGAGGCAAGCAGGTACCAAGACTGCAGTGGGAGATTTGATGAGACTTTCTAAGTTTTATATTCTGCACATATTGAAAGTTGGATTCAAAGTTGTTGTTTTTTTTTTTAGGGGAAGGGCCTTTTTAAACAGCAAATTAACTCAGTGGCTTTTTTCTATTCAATAAAGATTCACCCAGTCTTCTATTATTATTGTTTATTCATGAAGAGCTTCCTTGCCCTTGTGTTCAAACACTGCCTGTTCTCTGACCCAAATATGAAGAAACTCTGCCCCATAGGCTTTCCTCTTTTAATCCACCATCTTTCATTCCTGGTCCTAACCTTTCCCAGGCTAACCCCCATTCAGTACCAAGAGGAGGAAAAAAAAACACCTTCCCTTCCAATTTATAAGATTTCTCAGTTAAGTCCTGTTCTTAATTCTACCACTGTAGGAGAATACACAGTTTCTCATAAAGAAAGAAAAAATATTGATGTTATTTTTTTTTCAAAGAATTGTATAATGAGCCATTTCTTTCCACATATTCATAATGGCTGCTTTGAAACAGTATGCAGGAGCCAGGAGCAACTTCTCAAGCAGTTTTACTGTCCTTTTAGAGGGATGCTTCTTACACACTCTATTTTTGAAACTTTGAAGTATTTGTATCACCATAGAAACTGCCAATATCCCTCAGCTGATCTATACTGGTCAACTGAGGAAGTAGGATTGGGAAGGGCCTTTGTTTGTATATAAGTATGTGTGAAAGAGGTATGTGCAACAATGAAAGGCAATGAGGGCATACCTAAGCAATTGAGGCCCCACACAATTTGAAAAAGTGCCTCTGCCTTTTCTTGCATGGAACTGTTGTTTCAAGAAACTTGAAATTTAGGCAAAAATCTCCTCCTCCCACACATGGGCATAAATAACCAAACAGTTGAATGAAGTGTTATGCTTGATGCCTTAAATGACAGTGTGAAGGTGCTGTCTAAACATGAAATTGATCTAATACAATTGTAAGATTTTTTAAGGTTAATTGGAGTATAAAATATATCTGTGCCTATATAATAATAATAGAAATCCCTTTTCTTTTGAGAGTTTAGTATCTGCTTATTTTACATGTGTCAAATATTAGTCAATAAGATACGTTTAAAAGGGTTTTTTTTTTTGTATGACTCCAGAATTTATAAGAAAGAAAAAAAGTTTTTTTTTAAAAAAGTATCCCAATACAGGTAGTCCTTGATTTACAACCACAGTGGAGTCCAAAATTTCTGTTGCTAAGCAAGGAACTTATGTGAGTTGCAACTTTTATGCCACAGTTGTTTAATGAATCACTGAAGTTGTTAAACGAATCACTGTAATTGCTACGCAAATGTGACTTCCCCAATTGACTTTGCATCTCAGAGCTTGCTGTATAGGTTACAAGACCCTGTGATGCTGCAACTGGTAACTACATAACTTACCAAGCACCCAAATTTTTATCATGTGACCAGCCATGTCACTTTTTCAGTGCCACTGTAACTTCGAACAATCACTAAATGAATGGTTGTAAGTCGAGAGTACCTATAAATAATAATAATGCTTGTAATCATCAAATTGAAATACAGGTAGTCCTCAATTTACAATTGACCTGGGATCTTGCAACTGTCATAAATGTGATTCAGTTAAAGCATGCAAATATAAATCACATGACCTCAGGGATATTGCAATGGTCATAAGTGTGAAAAATGGTCATAAGTCACTTTTTTCAGTGCTGTGTAACTTCAAATGGTCACTAAGTGAACTGTTGTAAGTCAAGGACTACCTGTAATAGAAAAGTACAAAGTTATTTTAAGATATTAAGTAATAAGGAAACATTTTGAGTTGTGACATGGCAAAATTATTGTTAAATGTCACAGATGTCATCAGAAATCCAGATGTATTATTGTAAAATATTTTTCACCTTTTGGTGTGGATTGATATTCTTGTAAGTGGAAATATTAGTACAGGGAGTCCCATTCTTACTGGTTGCTAAGAATGGCAATAATTTTATAAATAATTTGATTTATGTAGTAATCAACTAAGAACTTAAGTATTTCTAAGTTTAAATTACGGCAAAGCTGGTGATGAAAACTATCCTACATAATTATTTCTGCATGACAATCTAATAGGACTTCTACAGGGAGAGGGAATAGCTTGAACCATAAATATTATTTCTAGATTCTCTTATGTAGCCAAAAATTAGTGAATATTGGTATGATATGTTCATATACCCTGTTTTCCTTCTGAAGCCCAAGGTGACATTGATCGTTCTCCAGTTTTCACCCGCAGTGACAATCCTTTTCATTGGGCTAAGAGAGAGTGATTGGCCCAAGGTCACCTCATCTTACTATGCACTCCACAGTCCAATTCCCTAAATACTAAACCATGCCATCTCTTGGTTTTTCCTGGCACCATGTTGGCATTTTGCTTATGGATTTGAAAGTTTTATCTCTGTGTGTATGTATTGTTTAATCTGATAAACTATAAGGCAAATATTGTGATCAAAACAACATGGGAGTTATCCTCAGGGGTGGGATTCTACCAGTTCGCACCTATTCGCTAGAACCGGTTGTTAACATTCTAAGCAGTTTGGAGAACCAGTTGTTAGAAGAAATTACTGGCCTAATCCTGTAAGGAAGGCAGGAAGTAAACATTCTGGTGTTGCTTACAGAAACTGCGTCTCCATTAACCCTTATTATATTCTTGGCAGGACTAGACTTCCTGTCTCAGGAACTTCTCTGGAGTTTTTTTTACCCTCCTTTGCTGGTACTTTGCTTGTGTGGAGTGACCATTCAAAAGTTACAATGGCACTGAAAAAAGCGACTTATGACCATTTTTCACACTTACAACTGTTGCAGCATCCCCACACAGTCATGAGAGGCCAGGCAAGGAGATGCGTGCCTCGATGTCAGTGATATTGAGTTGGCCACACCCAGCCAATAACATGACCACCAAGCCATGCCCACCAACTAAGCCACGCCCATAGAACTGGTTGTTAAAAACTTGAATCCCACCCCTGGTTATCCTATATATTTTGAATATGCTAAAGTCAAATTTGAAGGATGTTTGAATATTAAATATGTGAATACAGGCCTATGGCAATTTTTCAATGTCTTGTATATATCTCAAAGCAATTGATAAGAACTGCTTGTAACTCCTGCATTTTACAATCCATTTCTGTTGCAGAGAATATTATATAACAATGGTCAAGTGGGTGAGCAACACTAAGACAGTTGTGCGGTGGCTAAACAGGCCTCAAAATCTATCCATCCTCACAGTGTGTGAAACAACCACTGGTGCCTGTAGTATGGTACGAAACTTCTTTTTCATTTTTAAGCTTACATTTTAATAATGGCTCTTATGCATGTAGGACAAGCTTTAGAGGTTTATTTTGACTTCAGCTCAGTTCCATGCATAAACATACATCTTGTGTTAAATATATAGTACCTCGCTGTAGATCTAGTGTGCTTACAGGCAAAGAAACCTGCTATGAACATATATATCAGATGATATTTTTCTTCTTCAATCTAACTCCATGGGCTAGAAAATCGGGTAGGGAGAACAGCTGGGTATCCATAAAACTATTCTGGGGTTCCAAAAATTTCTCTTTATTTGACAAAGCTAAACAGTGTGAGGAAGCAGTTTGAATTCTCAGTAGGATATTTGGCAGCACTTATCCAGGATATGAAGCAGCAATTACTGGTGTTATAACAATAGATAATTCTGGATTCTCATAATACTGTCAACAGCAAGGTGCTCTTTTTGAAAAGAGTTAATGGCAAACTAGTAATTTATGTCTAAGCAAATTGTTTAACCTGCCTCTGTTGATCAGAAAATAATATAGAAGATCTACCAGACTCTAAACACTGGCCAAGTAAGATTTGTCAGCTCTTATATTAGCTTGTAGAAAATTAGACAATATGATCGGTTTAATCTGTAGTTGAAAAAAAATGACTCTGATGATTTGAATCAATATGATTTTATTATTTTTGCTGTATTATCTAGAAAGAAATCTTCCTTTATTTTTCACTTCATTCTTTTTTGGTTTTTTTCTAGTTTTGCTATTTTTAATTCTTTTGTTATAGAGCCTGTTTTGAATAATAATATTTCAATTTTTAAGGTTTTGTATCTAAAAGCAGGATACTGTTTAAATGAGACTCAGTTAGGGGTAGTGGCTAAGGCACCATGCTAGAAACCAAAAGACTGTGAGTTCTAGTCCAACCTTAGGCACAAAGCCAACTGTGATCCTGGGTCAGCCATTCTCTCTCAGCCCCAGGAAGAAGACAATGATTTTCATTTCTGAAAATCTTGCCAAGAAAACTTCAGGGATGTGTTCAGGAAATCACAAGGAATCAATATTAATTCCAAGAGACGAAACCCACCCTCCTGCCCTGTTTAAAAAAATAAAAACCATAATTAAAATATTGATCTATATATTTACTGTATTATAAACGTTGTAGCAATTTAAAGTGTTAAAATACTTTTACCCTCGTGGGGATTTTTCTAAGCTTCATTTTGTATGTGTACATATACACAAATACAGAGATACATATTCATAACAAAGCATTTTATCCTCATTAACAATAGATAAAAAATTTGATACTCCTATATAACTTCACACTATGTTAAAGATACAATACATATTTGCATTACATTACAAAAGTACTGTAAATGGATGTTTCTTGATAATTATTTGTTTTCTTCTTGAATATGTGTACCTACATATCCAAATATGTAGGTACACATTAAATACTGTGCAGTTGTGTTTTTTTTAAAGCCTTGTTTTTCCTGACTGTTATTTGGCATTTTGTTTGTAGAATTCACACATTTTTTTAGCTTCAGAAATTCTTTAATTTAAAAAAGTATGATTTTTCTTCATTCTTCTAGTGCCCCTTGTTTAAACTAGAATCATGAATAGTTGAGAGAAGAACAAAAAAGGTGTTTAGCAGCCTTTATGGATTTACAAATTCCCCCCATTAAAATACTAACTTTGAAAGAGATTACTACTTACAATAGTGTTGAACAACCTACACTTTTGTATAACTGTGTCAAATTTTAGTTTATATGCAATTTTGCAGCTAATTTAAATATGCATAATAGTTCATAATTATGCTTTCAGAAATCTTGGAGCTCTCCAATACATGGATTTCTATTTTCAGAATATTTGTGTGTTTGCAAGTCACTAATTCCAAAGATACTCCCATAAAAGTTATATTAAAACATTATCTTCAGTCTTAACATTATCTTCAGTGTTAACATAACAATAACTCTTAGAGGTCTTTCTTTAGTAACAGTGCATATTGAATAGCCTTCCAAACAGTTCTGTTTTCACTTCCTTTCTAAAAAGGTAGTAGAGAGGGTATCATTCAAATTTTCGGGAATAGGCTGTTTCAGAGAGATGAAGCATTTTGCTTTCAAGCCCCCTGGCCTGAATGGGGGGGTACTTAACATCCTTAATATAACATGAATTCAGGGGGTCATTTGGAATTATACAATGCAGGTGGTACTGTAGATACCAAACAACCAAACCATTCATGCTTTTATAGGTAGCCAGGTATCATGATGACCAGCCCCACACAATTGGGCAAGATCAAAGAACCAAGAGCTAAAATTCATTCACACCCTCACTGATGGTTAGTGTGATGTAAATTCAAACTAAGACAAAACAACTAGCTGACAAACCGTACTGAACGAGTAGTCCTTAATGGTACTACATCTACATGGAGAGAAGTAAGCAGTGGGGTACCACAAGGTGCCATCTTACGTCCAGTACTCTTCAATATCTTCATAAGTGACTTAGATGATGGAATAAAAGGGGAACTCATCAAATTTGCAGATGACACTAAGCGGGTAAAAATAGCCAATACCCTAGATCAGGGGTAGGGAAACTTGGCTCTTTTATCACTTATGGACTTCAACTTCCAGAATTCCTGAGTGAGCCATAAAAGGGTCCCCATCCCTGGCCTACTGGTTTTTCAGTTGTGAGGAAAATCAATTTTTGACTTGAATGGGACTGTTTAATATACAAATGTAGTGCATATGTCTTACATATATATGTATACATATCCTACATATATACAAATATACATTTGTATATTAAACAGTACCATTCAAGTCAAAAATTGATTTCCCTCACAACTGAAAAACCAGTAGGCCAGGGATGGGGAACCTTTTCTGGCTCACTCAGGAATTCTGGGAGTTGAAGTCCATAAGTGATAAAAGAGCCAAGTTTCCCTACCCCTGCCCTAGATGATAGGCTCAAGATTCAACAGACTTGAACACTATGCCCTATCTAACAAAATGAAATTCAATGTAGAGAAAAGTAAGCCAGAAAAACTAAAAGTACACATACAGATTAGGTGGAACCTGGCTTAATAGCAGTAACTATGAGTGGGATCTTGAATTCCTAGTGGACAATCAATTAAATATGAGCTATTTACAATCAATTAAATATGAGCTAGAGTTTGGCAGCAGCCAAAAAAGCCAATGCAATCTAAATTGCATTAACAGATGGCTAGAATCAAGTTCACATGAGATACTAATACCACTCCATAAAGCCTTAGTAAGGCCACACCTAGAATACTGCATGAAATTTTGGTGAACACACTAAAAAAGATGTTGAGACTCTAGAAATAGTACAGAGAAGAGCAACAAAGATGATTAGGTGACTGGAGGTTACAACGTATGAAGAATTTGGTATATCTAGTTTAATTAAAAGAAGGACTAAGGGTTGACATGATAGCAGTATTCCAATATTTGAGGGACTGTCACAGAGAGGAGGGGGACAACCCATTTTCCAAGGCACCAAAGGCCGGACAAGGTACAATGGATGGAAACTGATCAAGGAGAGATTCAACCTAGAACTAAGAAGAAATTTCCTGACAGAACTATTAACCAGTGGAACAACTTGCCTCCAGAAGTTATGAATTCTCCAACACTGGAAGTTTTAAAGAAAAGATTGGACAACCATTTGCCAAAAATGGTATAGGGTCTCCTGCTTGAGCAGGGGGTTGGACTAGATGACCTACAAGGTCCCTTCCAACTCTGTTATACTGTTAATGTTCTGTTAAATTTCTCACTCTCTCATGTAAGTTAATTAAGGCAGAGTCTCTTTGAATGATTCAAATGTTTCATCCTAGATCTCTATCCACTTGAACTAAGTTGTCATTTCTGGCTGTGAAAGGAGTGGAAGACAGAACAGAAAGAAACAACTCTTGCAATTGCTTATTTCTGTTTTGTCTTCCACTCCTATCACAGCCTCTCCACAATCTATCATATATGGTCATTGCTGACATTTCATGAACTGCTCCATATAACCAGAGAGCACTCAGATTGGAAAAGATTGTGGCAGCTAATAAAAATTGATCAACCTATCAATTTTAAGATTCAAAATGCAACCTATTAGGCATATAATTCTCCAATAAATAACTGCTTGATATTTATGCATACTTAACTATATATTGTGTTGTTTTTAGAAGTATGAATTTACATCTGAAGTCTGGCTTTCTAAGCAGGTATAGTATTATTAATTATTTGGAACGAAGTACAGATATTGATGATTTCTTAAAAGCTTGGGAGTAATTTCAGCAGAATATAAAAATAAATGACTTGGGTACCTCACTATAGTTGCTTTATTTTTCTGATGGCATCATAGAATAAAATTCTGGTATAGGTCTTCGATTGCTTGGAGTTTTATATTGCCCAGCTTATTCTGATTCCTGGAAGTTTATATTGTGTATTAAACTATATACAATGACATAGTAAATACACATGGTTATCCAATCAGCCAGGCAAAAGGTAGCATAGGATTTCGCAGGGTAAGACTTACTTAGTATGCCTTTTGGCCCATGTGCCCATAGATTCCCCCAAAGGGAAGGAGCCCTCAGATTCTCTTTTCTCCAGAGCAATACATAATAAGTTTGTCATTAAACAAATGCCTAATCAAGTGTCTAATAAAAATGAATTTCACTGCATTAGACAAGAAAACATCTCACTATTTGCATACATGACGATGATGCAAAATAGCCTTTCGTGAGTTTTCCATTTTTAAAATAAAGTCAAAAATGTATAAAGTTTGATATTATACATAGTAGGTAATGCTATAAAATACAAGCTTTTCCACAGCTTTGTGTCATGCGCCACTTGTGTCCATTCCTGAATTCGCAAACTCTGCTAATAATCACTTATGACCTAGTCACCTTCAGATTGGACTACTATAAAGCATTCAATATGGGGCTGGCCTTGAAGATTATCCGAAAGCATCCAGATGCAGGTGCAGAATGCCATAGCACAGGCAGTTATGTGTGCTCCTAGAAGAGTGGATGTTACATCTCTGTCCTGCAAACTGCATTGGTTGCCCATTTGCTTCTAGGTCCAATTCAACGTGCTGACTCTAATCTTTAAAACCCTTTATGCTATGGCACTGGATTACCTGAGGACCCACCTGCCCCAAATTATATCATCCCCCACCCTATTGGATATGGCAGGGAAGGCATATTGTGTGTCCTGTCAGAGAACCACATTTGGTGGGTCTCATGAGGTGGGCTTTCTTTGCTGTAGAGCTTGCTTTATTTATTTATTAAAAATTACAGTTTCTCTGGGCAGATTACAATATAATAAAAGTAACAACGATAATACAAAGCAATTAAAATTGAGAGGATTAAATACAAAGCTAAAAACCAAGAGGATGGACGGTCTGGGCATGGGGATTTTCTCTAGTATGACAGCAGGGGTGGGATGCAAATATTTATATTACTGGTTCTGTGGACGTGGCTAGGTAGGAATGGCCAGGTGGGCATGGCCATGTGACTGGGTGGGTGTGGCTTCTTTTTTCTTTTTTTTTCCACCCCTCCCCCTGTGCTCTTTTTTTCCCCTCCTGGGGGGGCGTTTTTGCTCTCAGGAAGGTTTTCTGAGGCCCAGGAAGAAAAAAATGGAGCACAGGGGGGCCGCACAATACCCCCACCTCTCCACGCTCCATTTTTTGGCCTCCTGGGCTTCAGGGAAGCCTCCTGGGGCGGCAGTGTTTTTGTTCCCAGGAAGCTTCCCTGACGCCCAGGAAGGCAAAAACGAAGTGCGGGGGGGGCAGCTCCCCCCCCCCCCCGTGCCCCTTTTTGCCTCTTGAGCCTCAGGAAGGCCTCCTGGGTGAAGCAGTAAGACAGCAAAGGGGATCCCAGCACAGCTGATTGTCGGAACAGCTGATCGTCAGGAGGAAAAAAGAAATGCCTTAAGGAGTGACTGCGTGGGGGAGACTGCAGTCAGTGATGTCATGCATGCACAATAAGGACTGACTGGGCAGGAAGGGGTGGGGCCAGCCAGGGGCACATTTTGATGGTTCTCCGAACTGTGCAGAATCGTAACAACCGGTTCTATAGGACCAGCCTGAACTTGTAGAATCCCACCCCTGTGTGACAGCCATATCCAATATAGCAGCCCTCTGTCAGGGCTTCAGGCCAAGCAGTAGAACCAAGTTTTCAGGCTTTTCCAGTGGCCAGGAGTGTGGGGGGAAGATCTCCCCTCTAATGGGGGAATATTACAGAGAGCAAGGGCTGCAGAAGAAAAGACCTAGCCAAAATTCTTTGGTCAATGGGATCCTAAGTAAGCCTCTTCCATGGGAACTAGTATGGCAGGCTGCACACACGCACACATACATGCATACAAGTGTAAAGTGATTATCATGGACTATATTTGTATTTTCAGATATCCACAATCCCTAAGAAAATACAGACATAGCCAATGATTCACACTAGTAACTTACTGGAAGACAGAAGTTTCATGTAAGTTTCCTACAGTGTTAATGGTAATTATATTTCACTGTAAAAAGATGTCCTGGATTCTAGGAGGTTAGGTCTCTTTAAGTAATTTTCTGGAGGTCAGGAGAAATGTACTTGCATTTCCTTCAAGGTGAGGAGGTCTCTCAGAATGTTCCCAGAGCCAGCTTGCATAGAAAGCTTTCTTGTGTTCCTGTGAAGGCAAGTTCAGTTTCACTTTGGACCTCTGTCAAAATTCATGGAGGTCAGGAAATCAAGGTGAGACCCGCCTGTGAACTCTGTTCTCTGCTGACCTTAAGCCTTCCATACATTAACCTAAAGACACAAAGAAGGATTTACTCTTTTGCAAAGCAGTTTAAAATTACTATTTGGGGGGGGGGGGAGTTTCTAAGTAATGGAATTGCTTTTTGAATTATTTTTGGGCTTTATTTTCTTGCCTCTTTATTTAATTTAGAAGATATCTGTAGCCACCCACCTTATGCACCATGACCCTAGATGGCTTATAAGCCATTGTAAAAACAGTAAAAACATAGAATCATATTTATGCCATAATATATTGTTTAACTTCAATGTGTTCAGTATTTGAATATGCCATCCATAAAAATGATAGCATATATGAGGTAGTTTTTAACAATAATATTTTCTCTGGTTTTTTTTTTTTACAGAATGAGGAACCAGTTTTTTCAAAAGATGGAAATACATTTTTTATGACAGTTCCAGTTAAACAAGGTGGTCGTGGTGAATTCCACCATATTGCTATGTTTAATGTTCAGGTGAGTTTCTTTTACGTAAGTTAGATTCCAGCCTAGATTCTAATTCCAGAATTATCCTGCTTTCCGGAATGAAGATGTACCATAAATAAATGGGTCCTTCCATATCTCCAATACTGTTATTAATGTTTCAAAGAAAATTAAGAAATAAATCTCTCCTAGGATGAGGAACTTGCATTAAAAGATTTCCTGTCCAAAGCACTCAATCCTATGAGCTTTTCATGATGCAGTTCTAGGCACATAGTTTTAATTCAATCTGAGCCAAAGACAGACAAGAGTTAGTTTCAACCGTGTGCTCAAGCTCTGTTTGATTCTTTTTAAAGTCAGTGGCATAAGTATATTTCATATTGATATCAATGGATATTAATAAAGATATGGATGCTAAATATAGATGCTGTTTTCATTAGTAGAAGTCTCTATTGCACCAGCTTTAACTTTTACAGATTATTTGTGAATTTTTTCTTGCTGACCATTATTTCTTCTTTCTCCTATTTTTCTGCAAGTAATATATTCATCTAATTAAACTAAACATCATTGATGCTAATAGAAGAGACTATTTGTAGTTTGGGGTTGAGCTGCGGAGTCCTTAGTGCTCTCTGAATTGTTTTGTTTTGTTTTTGTTTTTTGAACATGTTTCATTACCCAAGTAGATAACATCTTCAGCTAATGCTATTTTGTGAGTCAAGTATTGAGACATTGTATCTATATACTGTAATTTTCATTATCAGAAGACCAAGATAGAGTTCCATGCTTGTGGAAAGATTTAGAGCTTAACTATATAAATATTAAGGGAAAAAATTGCTTCCTTGAATCCCATTTAAGGACATGTAAACTGCTATAGGATATACTGCCATTGAGAATTCAAGGAAATTAACATGAGATACAACAGTTGGATATCTGTTGAGTTTACCTTCCGGAAAAAAACCATGGATATGTATGGACATTGGTGTTTTTTTAACACAGGTGTATGCTCAGCAAAACAAATGCTATAATTTGTATTTTGTTTCTCTTTAAGGATAGTATCATCATCCAAACATGACTTTCTTACTCACTCTCTTCCTTTCAAGCCATTCACTTTTCTTTCATACAGTTGTTTTTTAGTTTGATCCTCATTCTGTAACATGTCTCAATCCCCTCAGTGTACGTCAAGAGTACCTGGGTACAAGGAGAGGCTCAAGGGGTCAAAATAACAGCTGCAACTGTACAAGTGAAAACCTGACACTTTTTAACATGCAATTTAGGTTGCTGTATTGAGGGTTGTTTTTTTTTAACTTCTCTGCCAATGCCCCAGATATATTACTTTTGTATTCATCACTCACATTTGCATTCCATCTAGTTCCATTCATTCTTGGCCCATCTTAATTTTACTGCAAACTTAAATAACTCATTTTCATTGAACTCTACTTACATTCTTTGTAATCCTAACATAATCAATTTACATTTTCATACAAGACAGTACCCAGAAGCATCCTCTTACACAAGTCCATTTTTTCTTATTTCAACAAATATTCATTACTATGTATTACCTTTTTATCACCATTTGCCTGTGTATTCATATTTCTATCTTCAGTTAACATTTTATTAAGATACACAAAGTCAGCTATTGCTATTTGCTTATTTTTTACCATTTGTATAAAATTTGTGTTAATTCATTCATTCCATTTTACCTGTCAAAAACAAATACCTTGAGCTTTGATTCATGAATTTTCAGATTCATGTTTCTCACTACATCACACAATCTATCTAACATTTGCTGTAAATCATTCATGCTCCCAGGCAAAATCATAGCATCATTTACATACAGAAATACAGACATATAACTTTCTCAATCAACAAATCTCAAGCAGCATTATGAGAATTCATATAATATATATGAATTTATATATATATGAATTTATATATATATATATATTCTTACGTTTTCGCGGGTACTTACATGTATGGTATTCAGCTTTGTTCAGGTATTTTCCCACATCATTATAGTTGTGCTTTTAAAGTTGTAGCAACATTTCGGCAGAATCTCATCTGCCATCATCAGGTTTCTGTATAGTGTTCGTCTGTGAGTCAGACTTTCACAGCCGTTTCTGTTTTAAATTTGGTGCTAGCCTATGCTATGCCAGAATGGTTTTTTCTTCATCCTGATTGATTGGGAGTCTTGGTCTGTGTTTATTGGTTTTGGAGTTTGCTGTGTTCTGCTTAATTGGTGTTTCTAATATCTTCTGTCTGTTTTGTAGCTTTTTTTGTCTTGATTGGCTGGCAACATTGTGTTTCCTATATTGGAGGCTTTTAGTGCAGCTTGGCTTCGGGTAAACGGACGGCTATCATTTATTAGGAAGCCAGGTTTCATCTGGGTGCCTGGTTGGGGTGTGTTTGAGCTGGAGGTATCAGGGGGAGTTTGTGCCCAGGTGTTTGCCTGGCTAGTGGTGTGGATATTTTTTTGTTTGTGAGTGCAGGCTTCCAAATAATTGACAGTCTGGTGGAATCATCTCTTCTATTCATGCTTTCAGGTCTTTTTTCAATCTCTATGGCTTCTCTGATAATTCTGTGGCTGGGGTTTTCTATAGTGGCTAGTGTTTTGGTGCCATTGAAGTCGATGCTATGACCTGTGGCTTTCATGTGTTGGACTAGTGAGGAAGTGTGTTCCAGCTTTTTTACTGCATTTTTGTGTTCATCTAGGTGGGTACTTATTCTTCTATTTGTCTGTCCAATGTATGTGGTAGGGCATGATGCACAGGGGACTTCATATATGCCTTGGTTTTCCAGGTCAATTTTACCTTTGGGGTTTCTTAGGATGGCTGCTATTTTTCTGTCTGTTTTGAAGGCAGTCTTGATGTGATGCCTGTGTAGTATCTTACTGATTTTGTATATATCTATATCTATATCTATATCTATATCTATATCTATATCTATAT